ATTTCCTTGGGTCGATCACACTTGGGCGAGCACACTACAAATCAATCACAGGCTCGGACTTAATCTGTAAATAGTATAAAGAGCTTTTAACCTTTTTAGTTTCAAAGACATTAGACGTGCTTAGATTTTTTGGTTTTGATTTTTTTTTATTGGGTTTTTTTTCTGGGGGAGAGGTCAAGGAATATACCATGACATAACATATACATCATAAAGTTTAAATGTAAAGTACATCTAAAAATACATTTTGCAAATGAATACAGAATAATGCTATTCTCTAACCGTTTGAAAATGTAGAACGGTGAAACGCCTCGGTAGCCATAGCCCCTATTGAATTCTTTAACATATTATCGAGACCCATGGCCATGCAGGGCGAATAAGAGTTTGTATGCGCTTGTTCATCATTAACTACGGTATATTGACCGCTTGATAACTATTTTCGTTTACTTGTGTTGTTATGTTGCTTTTTCATAAATGCTTCTCGTTTTATTCACACAAGATGAAGTGAATGACAAAGTCTAGATTTGTTTCGCTAGTTATACTATGTATAGTAGTTACTCAAACAGCTGATCTCAAATATGTTAAAGGTAATGTACAGGAGACAATAGTATTTACTGCAAAATAATTATGTACCATAAAAAGCAATGCTTTTATGGCAGTTCTTCATCTTCACAACATGCGCACAGTAGAAATTGTTCATCACTGGACTTTCCCACACTAAATCCCTTGCCAAAGTGGGGAGTCCGTTTGGCTATACCAGGGTATAAATTCGCAGCCACGTTTTGTCGGAATGGTGACGCAAAATCCGATGACATGCTGTCTCTTCACGTTTAAGAACCCTTTCAACAACTCTCTGGATGTTCTCTAGGTGTTGTGTTGTGAGTAAAAATTATGCCCCTATCAAACATGCTCTTATCTCCTATTGTCATTCAAAATGTCCCGCCCATCACCTTAACTCTCTGAGTGGTCCATATGTAGTCTGTTGCAGACAAAATGTTATCCCTATCCAAAATGACCTTATATCCTATCAGCGGTCAACATTACTCGCCCATTATCCCAATAGTCCCCTCTGCAGAACCTATTTTATATATTTTTTAATTTTTTCTTGTCTCGTCCTGGATATGCAAGAAATAGTTGACACTGGACGTTAAGCAACCAACAATCAAACAATCAACCAAGTTCCACCGAATGGTCCTACCGAAGTCATTCACACTTATGTTATTTGTAAATTTCTTCATATCTTTTAAACAAAAATGATAAAACACGTTTAGATTTTTGAATTGTTAAAAACAATAGACATTTCACAATTTCTAACAGAGTGAATATTCATTTCCTTCTGTGTATGTATGCGTTATTTTCTTTGTTATCTTTTTAATCAAAAATGTTTCAAGAAATGCTTTTAAAATTTTAAATCGTTATAAACAATAGATTTAAAAATTCTTTCACAATTCACAACAGATCTAAAGTAGTAAATATTCACATTCTTCTGTATGTTCTGTGTATGCATGTCTATTTGTTTAAGCTTTTAATATCTAAGAACTCTATAAAAACAAAGAATATGTAATATTCAGTTTCACTGTGTCTTGTATACTTTCCATTTTTAAAACTGTCGTAGACAGCGGAAAATCTTTGAAATTAAACAGCTTAAAGCGGACGATTTTACAATCCTGTTAACACGATGCCCAACAAATTTTAACTGCATTCAATTTTTTGGAATAACAATGCATATCAATTATATTTGACAAGGTATATACCGAATATATATTCTTCGTATGAATAATAGGAAATGTGGACTGGATGAACACGAGATTGTGTTCCAACAACATAAGTAAACAAAAGATCACTAGAGTGTCCTCAGCCAAGAAGATGACACTGACACAAAATAGAAAAAGCGGTCTACTATTAACCATTAAAATCACCAAAAAATAAACATGATTTGAACAGTATTACATGAGTTCTTAATAATGCTTAAAAGTTATTGCAGAATTCTATGACAAAACGTAGAGTCACCAAAATTAAGAACCTGAAATTGTGTTTCTGGAATTGATATAGTAGTACTTCTAGCATGATATTAAAGAATAGTTTCGTTTGTAGATTTAAAATCCAATTTGTACAATGTGATAAGGAAATCCGTATTGGGATTAAAACTTAATTTTAGTGATTTATAGAGCGAGGAACTGTTGCTTTCTATATCAACAAATCTCTATGTCATGTGAAATGAGTCGATAAAAGGCATCAATCTCGTCAATTCCTCATTGTCAAACTGGGTTTTGTGGATCAAGATGTAATATTGTAGAAATGTTTCAATTTAATGACAATACTGGAGAATCGGATTCATTTGTATACGAGATAAATTGTTTATAGTTGACAAGTCTACGGATGTAAACGTTAATAATGTCTGTCATAATGACGAATCTCCAGGATAGACTTTCAGCACTGCCAACCGGCATTATAGCCGTCCGAACAGCTGCTTATGCAGTGTGTCAAACATGCGACTTGATTATATACATACCTGGAAGCTGATAGATGAAAGGAAAGTGTAAACGTTACATTTTATTTGACACTCATGTCAAATTTGTTAGACATTTATAAACGAGCGATTCAAATAATTTAATATATTTCATATTAATAATAACTTCATTTCCATATATTTGTGAATGGCTAATATACGTATTTTCAATATATATCTAACATATATTTCAATATTATTTGAACATTAAGTTACTTTATTTAAATGTCTCATAAAACCAAAAACAATGGCTTGTCCATGGGTGTGAACTTTGCGTTTTGTGACATAGTTTTAAACAAATGCGTTCGTGGTACATATTTTAACTTTTCCCATTCTCATCATGGTATTACATGTTAAACGTTAACCCTTTGCTATGTCGAATTTTGGTTGTCATTTAATATATTGTCCGGTGGTTGGAACCCCCCATCTTTTGGGCGATCAATGCATTTGAATGGGAACATATAGTTGGAACCCACCCTTTATCCAAGATTTGGAACCCCCCCCTTTTGAAAATGGCTTGATCCGCCCCTGAGATGCAATAGGTAACACTAAATAAAATCTGCTGTACATGAATGGAAAATCAATTCGTAATGGTATCTGAACTGCAGACAAAAGACTGCAGTGTTTCCCTGGAGGTTGTTTGGCCCTGCACCTCAGTCATTGTTCATTTATATCACTGCACCTCAGTCATGGCTCGTTTATATTACATAAAGGCGAGTCATATCTCTGTGTCAACAGCTTATTTACCAATGTATTTGTTTTTACCATATATTTTTGAAGCTACAAATAGAATGACTGATACTCAGTACAGCAAAAACACCGAGTGAGTACACGATAGATAAACCTTTATTAATAGCAATAGGGAAGATAGGTCCTACTGTATCCGTCGCAGTGATAGTCAGTAAAAAGTAAAATCACAAAAATACTGAACTCCGAGGAAAATTCAAAAAGGAAAGTCCCTAATCAAATAGCAAAATTAAAAGCTCAAACACACCAAACGAATGGATAACAACTGTCATATTCCTGACTTGGTACAGGCATTTTCTTATGTAGAAAATGGTGGATTGAACCTGGTTTTATAGCTAGCTAAACATCTCACTTGTAAGACAGTCGCATAATAGGGTGTTCAAGCCCAGATATATAAACTACCATTTATTCAAATTAAAAAATAGCATGCAAAGGTTTTAAATAAAACCCATCTGTAAGGAAGTCAAGAAGAGCACAACACTGATAATTGTGATGTCTTGTTAAGTTGAAATCCGTTTGAGATCATTGTATATCCTATAGGTATATAATAAATATTAAAGTCAAAGACTAGTTTTAATTTCAAAGAACTAAAATTTAGTTATCAGTTTAAATCGCTCTTACAGATGGTTTTAATGCCTACTGCAACGCGTTTATTTTAAAAGAAAGTTCGTTCTTGATAATTACGGCGACGTTTTCAGAGCCATATCTTTATTTTAAGCAATGAAGCATACTTAAATACACTTTATTTATATCAACATTAAGTCATGAATAGTAAATACCTTTTATTGATTAGTTTGCATTAGGTGCGTTTTATATGACTATCGAAGACTTTGAGTCATGAATGAACACGGATATATGCGTCAGCTGGGGTAGGCCAGGGTATAAAACGGTCCTTATACGGTCCTTATACGTAGCCTCATAAATGGCTCAAGATGGTTCCAACACACTTTGTGTGATCTTATAATATACAATGCCTGAATCTACAAAAACCTTAAACTACAAAACATTTATATCAAGAATATTCTCTTCAGTTTTTATATCCAACCTGGGACTAATAGATAATGTACTATGACTATGTATTAGTCTCAGATCCAACTGGTCTTTTATTTTGTACTGGGTAGTCAAAAAGATCAGTCAAATCGTACTAAGTCTGTTTCTCATCAATAGTATTTTCTGTGATTAATTATAATCACAACATACATGATGAGATAGTCATACATTAAACGATTGTAATAAACTTAACAATTAATACCTGTATAACATATCCCGTGGACGGCAAGGCATTCTCTATTATGTCTAATGGTTGTCTCTCATATCGGACCTGGTCCAAAAGTTTACCAACGTGAGATTTGCAATAAACTTCTTTGTCTGAAGTCCCATTAGCGTCATTTCTGTGAAATGTCTGCATTGTCAACGGTAGTCCACATATCCGACATCGAAAACATTGTTTATGGAATAAAACTCCAACATTGACTTGATCTGAGGTTCTAACCCTGCGGTAACACCGGTAGCAAGGGTCCTTTGGGTCGGGATTAGGCTTTCGTTCAAATCTGAATTCATACAATGTCGCCCTTTCATACGTAAAAGAATATTTGTACGATCCATCTTCTCCTCGGCCCTCCTGGACGTCAATCTTTACTGGAACATCCATGTCCCCAGACATTTTATGTGTTAATAACATCCATTTTGTTTACGTGAAATACCACAATGTTGATATATAAAATTGTACAGGTAATCTGACCTTAAACTGTCATACCTGTGTGGCCCGGTAACTAGCAGTATGGAAAACAATCTATAAAATGTAATATTGCAGGTAAAACATAATTAATCATTATATGTTTACAACAGTAAAATAATGAATCGGTAATAGTACATAATTTACAGATAATATAATAGTTTGAAGCATTTTTTAAAAATTATTACACAACTTAATGTCACCGTGGCAGTTTATCAGAAGAGTACAGCTATTATACTAGTACTAGATTAATGGAATGAACGCTAACGCAAATTGGATAAAATACCAGTGGCGGATACAGGGAGTGGGGGTGTCAACGTATATTTGTTCCGCCTAACAGAAGTTCCACTGGAAACTTTGTTATAAACAATGTCATAATATCTGTTCCTGTTGGAACAAATATTCTATACCATTTATTCCGTTAGGAACATTTACTGTAATATTTATTCCAGTGGAAATAATATTCCAGAATATTGTTTCCATTTGGAACTTAAATTATGAAGGAACTTCTATTCCGTGACAGTCTCCTCTTCTATTAGTGATCATATTGTATTATATACTAGTACTTTCAATTGAATTATACATATATTAGTATATAGTAACTTAACATGATAGAATTTCTATGTTATAAATTTCATGTATTGGTTGAACATAACTTAAGATGTTAGTAAATAAGTTGTCTGCTTGGAAACTTAGAAATGTCCGGAAACGGTTTACTTCAAATTTTACTTTGGATATTTTCTAACTTCCGTTTCAGAAAGGGGGCGTGGCAATCATGTAAACAAATAAAGTGATGGAAGACGAAGTTGTTGCGGACATAGTGTCTTCTCTTAAAGAACTAAATGATAAAGAAGAGCAGTTGATTAAATATAGTAGAGACATTTTGAGAGAGGAAAATGGTTTTTCAGTATTCGTAGATGACAAGATAAAGAAACTGTTCAGTCTTGCGTTTGTTTACAAAAATGTTTTCCAAAAGCATAACGTTAAAACAAAGGAGGAATTTGAACGATTGATTAGAAAATATTTTAGGCATTCAGATGTTAGAGACTTACACGATGAATTAGTTGACACTGAGGATGAATGGGATTCTATCCTTAAAGACCTTGATCAAAGAATGGGTGCTTTGTCTAATGGAAAAGTATTAAGTATTGGAGATAAATCACCTGTTGATGCTGAGCTGGTGGATGCACGCTCAGGTAAAGCTACTTCCATAAATCAGTTCTTAACAGGAGGAAAGCACATTGTTCTGGTTTTACTTAGACATTTCGCGTGATTACCATGACGAAATCACGTTGCACAGCTTGAAGAAGCCATAGATGACATTACAAAAGCAAACGGGTCAGTAATTCTTATTTCATTTGGACTAAAAGAAGGTGCGGAAAAGTGGTTAGAAGAAACAAAGTCGAGTTTCCCGATGCTTTTGGATACTGAAAGACGCATATATTTAGCGTTTGGTCTTCCAAGATCGGTAGCAAAAGTGTGGGGTGTTGGTAGTATGGTATACTATGCTGAGAAGATGACACAGGGTATACCACTACCGAAACCTTATGAAAACATCCATGACGATGCAATCCAGATGGGAGGCGATTTCATTATAAATAAAAATGGAGATGTTACCTTTTTGTATTGCAGTAAAAATTCGAGCGATAGACCATTAATTCCAACGTTGCTTGAAGCTCTTAAAGATTGTGAGAAATAAATGTGACAAAACTAAGTTTACAACCAAATTGCTGGACTTTAATATAGTATTTGATTATCGACAAGAAAGTGTATGATAGTTATAGCTGAAAACAGAGCATGTTGGCTTTAGCTGGATCGAACTTCTTGTCATCATATGCTTAAATTCCGTATTTTGTTGTGTTTTAGCAGTTACATAATTATTGTTTATTCATTGATTTATAAATTGTATATGGTCCAAGGACACAGTTATCGTCCTTTGGTTTTCGTTGTGTACGAATATAGTCCCTAGTGTGAACAGTGTATAACTTGCATTTTTTTTTATACATTTTCCAATTTATTTCTTGATATATTATGCATTAAATGTTAAGTAAGGGGATGAAATTACATGTTAAAAAAAATTTGGGTGCTGAATCTTTATGTTAAGTAGTGATTTGGTCCAGTTAAAAAAGGTCAAAAATTAGAATGTCTGAAGCTGTCAAACTGAATTTTAGCCCCCCTTAACACAGAATTGTCAATATTTTGAGTTAGAGCTGGTAGAAGTTTCTATAATTTTGATATTATTTGTATCAATAGTAGTATACTACACTGTAAACATCTTTTTGAGATAGAGCAGGACTGGTGCGATTTTTTTAATTTGAATTTATTGTCTAAAAGAAATGCACTACGAAATAACTGTGTTCTCGGGCTATATGTGGCTGCCAATGCTTTTTTTTTTTTTTTTTTTTATTAATTTCTTACAGCATTACTAAGTTAACACACTTTTGCAGTTCGACTATATGACAATAAGAAATACGATAAAACAATATAGCGTCGTGTCATAATACAACATGAATTCGCTCATTTGCATTACATGACTTCAATCCCCTATTGTTTTATGACAGCAAATATTTGTTTCCTTATAATAATAAATCCATAAAGAAAATACTTCTGAATTGAAGGGGTGTACGAGCCAAGTATTAACAAATTAGTACACATTTTATGTTGTAAATGATAAACTTATTGAACTGGACTAACATAGTTACTTTTTATTCCATTTTTTATAACTTTAATTGATGATTTAAAATGTCAGAATACAAATACATATGTTCAAACTCTTTAAAGTCATTTTTTAGTTACAACAAACAAAAGAACAATGTCAATTGGACCTGCTCTGATACGATAACTGCACTTGAATTTTTACTAGAAAACATTTTTGTTCGCTATGGAGATTCCGTAAGTCGTCGAGTTATCGGAATTCCAATGGGGACTAACTGTGCACCACGTATAGCGGACCTGTTTCTGTATTGTTATGAGTTACAATTTATGACTAAAATCAGCAAAGACCCATCGAAACAACATCTGATACAAAAATTTTATAACACATTTAGATATTTTGATAATATATTGGCTCTCAATAATGACGACTTCAGTATGTACACTAAAGAGATGTATCCTGCTGAACTGACTTTAAATAAAGCTAATACTAACAATTAATGAACACTGCCCTTTCCTGGATCTTGGTATCTATATCTTTAACGGGAAGCTTAATACCAAAATTTACGATAAAAGAGATGATTTTTCATTTCTTATTGTTAATTATCCATTTTTAAATGGTGACGTTCCCTTGTCACCATCTTATGGTGTTTATATATCGCGACTTCTTCGATTCGCTCGTGTATGAAACAACATATTTGATTTTAACGAAAAAAAATCTCTGTATTACCGAAAAATTATTACACCAGGGTTTTCGATATTACAAACTAGTCAAAACATTTACTAAATTTTATCATCGGTACAAGGACATCATTCGTTAATATACATCAACATGCAGACATCTTTTACGTTCGGGCATTTCACATCCAATCTTTTATGGTACTATTCTTTACAAAGCACAAAAATGTTGGCATTCACCTCAAAAGCTAACCAAACCTTTAAGCAGACTTATTCAGAAGGGATATAGTTACGATACTGTTGTCAGGTCATTAAAGATGGCATATTTTGGTATTAATATTGATTCACTCATAGGTTCTTTGCATCGGAAATAAACACATTTATTCAAAAACCAGTAGTTGGCATGATACGGGTTATGTTCTTCTCATATATTTTATGATGGTAGGATACTAAAACCCTAACGGGAGGGATTGTGCTTGATTTTCATATTATGAAGACATACTCTTTCAATCAGTTTAATTGCGGTCTGGAGCTGGCATGTCAGTAACTCACGCGGCTAGTAGTCCTTTGTTAATTTATGTATCATTATCATTTTGCTTAGTTTTTTCTGTTATCTATTCTGATATCGGGCTCGGACTTCTTTTAAACTGAGTTTTACTATGCGTATTGCTGTGTGTTTGTTTATTCTACATTAACTAGAGGTATAGGAGGAGGCACGGTTGAGATCTCACAAAACATGTTTTGCGCCTGTCCCAAAGTCAGGAGCCTCTGGCCTTTGTTAGGCTTGTATGCTTTTTTCTAATTTTAGTTCGTTTATATGTTTCGGAGTTTAGTGTGACGTCCATTTTCACTGAACTGGTGCACATTTTTGTTTAGGGGCCAGCTGAAGCCCACCTCCGGGTGCGGTATTTTCTCGCTGTGTTGAAGACCCATTGGTGGCCTTGGGCTGTTTTCTGCTCTTTGGTCGGGTTGTTGTCTCTTTGACACATTCCCCATTTCCATTCTCAATTTTATTATTTGGCTTCCAACAACTAAAAAATATATCTGCAAAGAGAGTTGCACAATTGGTGCTTATTGAAACGAATTTTGACCGATGTCGCCGAATTCAACACATAAGTTATAGATTGCTTCTAGTAGCTCCTTCTTTTTGTTTGTTTGTTGTTTGCTGAACGTCCAATGGCAAATATTTCATCGTGTTCTGGACGAGAACAAATTAGAATTGATGCATAGGTTGGCTCTGTAAAATGAGTCGACATGAATGGCGCGAATTTTGAATGCCAATTAAAAATTAGTCGGAATGCTGGATAGCTATAGTAGGTGTCAAAATTTGTCAACGGTCATTTATTCTTACATTAATGTAAGCAACAGTAGTTTGACGATATTCAAATCTCAAAAACATTAATGTAAGCAACAGTAGTTTAACACATTCAAATCTCAAAAATCGATGAAGAAGGCAAATCAAAGTTACAATTAAACAAAAACTGAGGGACGCTAGACGGAATAATTACAATTTGCAAATGAAAATGCATCAACCATGATCACGAACTTCATTAATGAAACAAGACCAATTAGAAAAACAACTCCGAATTGCACAGGCGCTTCGATATCATTGTTTGTAATACTGTCATAAAAAAAACCTTGCAGGTACTAGTAATCATTTTTTTTTTTCACATAAGTCTGAAAAAGTAGAAAAAATCATTATTTTTAAGGAACAGAAAGAAAGGCTTATTAGTTCATCAGCAGTATGCCGCATAATAAAAAAGAAGATATACAATTATATGACACATATTCAACAAGAAAAAAATCATACAAAAATGCAGCGATAATATATCTCAACCCTAAAACAGTAGTTGCAATAAATTGGGAGAATTCCCAGTGGAAGACAGTTACCCTGGAATACTACAAGACTCTGATCTAGGTCCCTATCCTTTGTCTTATATATAAATGATTTACCAGAAGAGGTAAATTTAGAAACCTATTTATTTGCAGACGATACACAAATATTAAGATTGATTTAGGATCTAAATGACCAAAGCATATTACAGGATGATCTGCAAAGAAATGTAGACTTGATGTAATACCTGGCTTTTAAAGTTCCGTCGAGAAAAAAAGTCACCATATGGATATTGCTAGAGCGAAGACGAAGAGCAGTAGACACTATCAACTATTGGGTAAAAGTATTAGTAAAATTAAAGAAGAAAATGATATAGTAGTAAATGCCACAGAGTTATCATTCGAAAACTTCATACGTTAAAAGAGTAAATAAGAAATACTCAGTACCTGCAGCCTTTAGAAGAACCTTTAAATACTTAACCGATGAAGCCTTGCTTGCTCGTTATAAAGTTAAACTGTGATTCATAACAGTAAAGGAAAACCTGCAACATGTGTAGGCAGTTTGTCCACATTGAAATACCAACCACTTGACTCTATCTCCCATACGAACATGAATATTTGAAGCAAAAAAACTTAATGACTTAAATAATTTCTGTGTGTGTCCAATAAATGTATCTTTGTAAGTATAAACCAGGTTCAACCCACCATTTTGTTCGGGAAATGCCTGTACCAAGTCAGGAATGTGACAGTTGTTGCCCATTCGTTCCGTTGGTTGATAACGTTTGATTGTGTCAGTTTTTATGGACTTTCCCTTTTTGAATTTGCATTGGAATTCGGTATTTTTGTTATACTTTTTTAATCGTTGTAAAGGGAATTGCGAATTCTTTAACAAATACAGTTACACACAGATTTATCAGAACACCTGTTTTACTGAAAAGGAAATGATCTGTTCGATTAGATTTTGCGGTTATATAATACACAGAGAAAAAAAACTCTAATCGGAGACACTCTTGCCTTTAAAATAAGTAACTTAGCCGACACCTCCAAATAGTGTTTTGTTAATTCCAAATAAATGGGGAATGTGTCCATAGGGACACAGATGATGCCCCCGCTAGCATATATAACGCTATAAAGGTACATAACTCCAGAACTGTTAAAGTGACGCTTCCATAAATTGAACTTAAACTGAGTTTTGTGGTAAAAAGCATTATATATATATACATTTCATTACATTGAGTTGAGACAAACTCAAGTTAGAGAACGGATTTTCATTTGTAAAGGGGCATAACCCTAGAACGGTAATCAAAGTGCTTGTAAGCACTGAATGGTAAAGATTGCTTTAATTTATCAGTAGGAAGTAAAATTGAATGTTGCATTGGTTGTATTTAATTCAACTACCATTCTGGACAAAGAAAGATAACTCCAATTTTCAAAGCAGACTTTAAAATATCTTTATAAATAAAGGGTAAAAATTGCTTTAATTTATCAGTGGAAGGCAAAATTAAACATTGCATTGTATGAAGTTGATTGAACTATAATCACGGACAAAGGAAGATAACTCCAATTTTAAAAATAACTTGATTAATATTTTTAGAAAAAAAAAATGTAGCATTTTTTTTATTTGTAAAGGGCATAACTCTAGAACAGTAAAAGTGACGGCACCAAAGTTCAAACTTGATCTGTATATTGTGGTAATAAGCATTGTGTATAAGTTTCATAACATTTGGTTGAGGCTAATTTAAGTTAGAGAACGGAAACGAAAAATTTAGCATTTTTCCATTTGTAAAGGGGTATAACTCTAGAACGGTAAAAGTGACGCCATCAAAATTCAAACTTGATCTGTATTTAGTGGTAATAGGCATTGCGTATAAGTTTCATAAGATTTGGTTGAGGCAAACTAAAGTTAAAGAACGGAAACCAACTTTGGGACGTACGGACGGACGTACGGACGTACGTACAGACGAACAAGGGTAAAACTTAATACCCCCTCCGCTACGGCGGGGGCATAAAAAAGGTTATGCCGCTATTAATATAATTTTGTCACAATATTTGATAACGAGTTCCTTAACGGTTGCAAGCGAACTAGTCAGAAGAATCCGATATATGCCTATTTGAACCTGTAGTACGTTTTATTTAAAATGTTATGTCCAAGTACTTAATATAGAGATTTATGACATTAAAGTAAAAAATGTATTTCAAAAATTATGTCATTTTTGCCCGTGATTACTACACCATTTATGTTATTTGAAGTCTCAGTTTTAAAATTAGCAAAATGAACCCACACTATCGTCTATAAATGTTTCTAGTAATTTAATAAATTACATATTGATTCTAGAACAGTGGATAAGTTAACGACCCACCTCTCCTAGAAATATTTGTAGTTTTCTTATTATATACACATTTTTTAATGTAACTTATCAAGTCGTGTTGAAGATTTTTACATACATTAATCATAACATGGATATGGATTTAAAAGGGTACTGAATGTGTTGTACTGCTGAAACCTCAAATCTCACTGCCATATAATAGAGTGGGCTTCACAGCGTGGTCAAGCTGAAAACTTGAAGAAAATGAATTTATCTTAGGTTTTCGCTTTCCAAATGCCTCGCAAAGTTTGAAATATTCTTTTAAGCCTTTTTGGTTAAGGGATTATCTGGCTTCTTTTAAAGTGCCAGCTAGAGCACGGTGAAATATAACTCCGAAGAAGCGGTAACTGTTAACATTTTCTATGACATTCGTAATCATAGATGACTGAAGTTTTCTGTCGAATTTGAAATGAGTACTAAATCATCTACACTAGAAGAGGCTGTTTAAATTAAGTGTACCAAGATGAATACTGCTATCATGGTTAGTATGTAGTAAAATGTGTTTCACGGTTGTTAAAGTTCAAGTTTAATATATTATTTTCAATCAACGACGCCCATTACTGGCAGAATAATCACATTAATTTTAACATTTTTACATAGTGAACATTTTTATTTTGTTTTGTTTTTTATATTAAGATAAAACTATTTACACGTGATAAAGTTAACCAAATTACAATGATGTGGTTACAATTATATATAGTCCAGCCTTGGCCTCAGTGACCGTTATTTTCAATGAATTTTGGAATGCATGTCGCTTCGTAACCTGGTCGTTTCGTACCTGGTCGATTCGTAACTACGTTGTTTTGTAACTGAGACGTTTCGTACCTTGTGTAATTATATATGGTTATAAAGTGTTAGTTTGATATGCTCCACTGGCAGGAATGGTAAGGCCATCAACTTACGTAAAAATTTAAAAGTGTTGCCCTTGGAATTGTATGAAACTACCAGGCCAGTCGTTTGGATTTTAAGGAAGAAGGACGGGGACAGTTTCGCAAAAGATGTCAAGCGCTTAGGTGTTTCTTCTGTAGTTATAGGCTCCGACATCGTCAGACTATAAACAAGAAACTTGAAAGAAACAACTTATGATAGAAAAAAAAAGAAGATAAATAAAGAACAAAGCAACATAAAGATGAGTGGTGTCAAGTATTGGAGACATCAAAGCACATGGCAGAAGACTAAATACTTTGATAAAGACGGGGTACATCTAAATGATGATGGACAATTTAAATTCTTCTGTTCTATTCACATGTGTGAAAAACTGTACTTTTAAAGTGTAAAATTATGTGCAATCAATTATTTAATAAATAAATATAGATATATATATATACATCAATAAGTCTTTTTATTATTTTTTACGTAACCTACGACTCACATGTTGTTATTATATATTGATATAAGGTTACAAAACGTGTCAGGTACGAAACGACCTAGTAAGTTACGAATCGACTAGTTACGAAACGACCAGGTTACGAAACGGCCTGCACCCGAATTTTGTTTCTCTCTGTTGTCACAACAGAAAAAATAAGAAAAATAAAATTATGCCACTGAGGCCAGGGCTGGACTACAATTATATAATAAGAGAGAGAGAGAGAGAGAGAGAGAGAGAGAGAGAGAGAGAGAGAATGGACACAGAATATTCATTTCCATCCTGTTTTATGGAAGGTTATATATTTTCAGCTCTTTCGGCCAGCCGCCAGGATATTCATTTTCAAACTTCTCATATTAACTAACAGTTTTCTAAAAATTGTTTTCTTACAACATTTAGATTAATGATTATGTATCAGATTATAATCAGATCTTTCGGTTTGTTCCGTTTAATGTGTTTTTCGCGGTGCTCCATAAACGGAGATTGATTATGCCTCCTTTTAAGTTCCGTGAATATCATATAACCATAACCATTTCGAATTTTAGTTTATTATAAACTCTTATTTGTGGAGTACAAAAATGACATTTCTATTTTTAACATTGTATTCCATCTGTAGTCAAAATTTAGAACAAACGATGTCATTACAAAGTCCAAGAAGAAGAGTGGCAGTTGTTTTATCTCAAATTTCATTTTCTGATAACCAATGTTGACAGAAATTATCGTAATCATGGTGGTTTTAGCAGTGATTGGAGGTTACATTGTAACCTCAGTGTTGTTACTGAAATTTCCTCAAATTTTACACAGAAAGAAAAGCATAAAATTTAAACCTGTGCATATAAGCCATCGAGGGGGTATGCATTTTTTATTTGTTATCTTAAATATTCAGTTTTGGTTTTGTTTCTGTACAATAATATTAAACTATTATATTTTCTCTAACCTCATAAAGACCTAAAACAAAAAAGAAGATGTGATATGATTGTAAATGAGACAACTAACCACCAGAGTACAAATGATTTGGCTGTTTAAAACTATCGATATAGGTCACTGTACGGCCTATGTTGCTAACCGGTGGTCTGATTTTCATAACTGTCATTGTAGCCAATCCCAATAGTTTACTGGTCACATGCTGAATCTGTTTGGTAGTGTGTGGTATATAAATATACACGCACATCTGTTGGAATTGGGACATGATTTAAATCAGGAACATATATATAGACGGGACTTGACACTACCTAATTATAGCTGATTTTATCGTCGGGTCATAGTTAATAAATGACACGATACGGAAATGGACATGAGTAAAATACATACTCGCTATTATCTTACTAATTTCTGGTAATATCAATAAAATGTCATTCAAACTAAGTAATAATAAGTGATGCCAGAGTATCGAATTTGTAATATGTCACTTCAAATTTGTCATAATCACATTCATTTCATCACAGAAGGGTACAGAATGCAAATGGGGTAATAAAAAAATGGGGCCGATGACATTCCCAGTAACCGCGAATTTCACAAACCATTATAAAACACTTCACATCAAATAAATGACACTTATATTGGTCATTTTATATGACAAAATATATCTACTTTACGATAAAACTTATCAATTTATTGTATTTGTTGAACGTTTGGAATTATGTGGTTAATTTGTTGAGCAGTTCAATCAGACCCTTCCAAAATCCATAAATCTTGCGAAGTCTCGTAAAGTTCGAGATTTTATCAATTTTATACTGAAAAGCCTATCAGATTCATTTCCCGTTAGATATACTGTTCCCAGTTTAAATTAAGTATTCCAATAATTGCTTGGTCGTTCCCCGAAAGAACAATAACTCGACAGCATTTGAGATGAACTCCATGCTTCCAGCATGCATTGTTTTCAAAAATAGATTTTGGCATGATGCAAGGAACAAATATTAAGGTGAAAGGAATTTTTCGATTGCTTAAGGCTCTCCCAAAGTAATAATGACATAAATATATTATTCTGCTTGAGTTTTCCCTTTGTTTGTTTGTTTGTTGACAAGATCATGTGGATCTACATTTATTTCATTAAACTGGCTAAATTACACCAAAAGAGCAAAGCTGTAAAATCTCCAATTGTAGATAGTATATTCTAATGCAACATCGTTTGTAACGTTCATTTTGATTGGATAACGTCACCAATTTTCATGGCATCAATTCACAATTGATGTTATGTAAACTTACTCCCAAGTGCAGACAATATATGACAGATTTTAAATGTATGATTTGACGATGTTTTCTGTCAGTTTCATTAGAATGGAGATAACAATACTACCGTCTGATATCATATGGACATCCATTTTATTGTGAATCCTGCAAGCACTCTGAGCTGGATTTTTAATGTGCTTATTCACAAGGTTACAGGAAATATATCACTCTGCTCATGCATTTTTCATACTTATGTCTTTTCTCATACATACTCCTAATATAAATGACCTGCAATTAAAAGAGATGCAACAAATATTATATTAATATATATAAACACACATGTATGATTTTATATACCGATTAAGTTTTATCCAGAATGAGATACTACAGATAAACCATCGACTTGCACTTGATACAAGCATGACAATGATGTATATGAGACAAAAAAAAAATCCTGATCATATATATCTGTTTTGGTACAAATAACAAATTTACCATTTAATGTAAGCAATTATTTATACAGTTTGCCATGTATTCTCATGAATATGACATTTTTCTTACAGGAGCTGGTGAACACATAGAGAATACAATGACAGCATTTAAACAGTAAGTTAGGAGAAAACTGTTGTAGCGTTAAACTTTTATGACAATCGCCTATTGTTTGACAGCTACATGTCATTTATTTTTATTTTTGTTGTAGGATTGCTGTCTCATTGATGTAAAAAAAACATGTATTCTTATATCCATAATGAGAGAGGTCAAATCAATAGTTGATTTTATTGACAATTGATGTTTTAAAGAATAGTTCCAGACTTACATGTTCACTAGATAAGAGTATTCATGGAATACCAATTGGTGTAGATTTCGTGAATTTAAATGTTCAATTTTCTAATGAGACTTCAACAAATCCACGAAATCAAATATCAATCAACAAAACTTGGTATCCACATAATAAAATGACTCCATCTAGTATAATTATTGTCCCCCGCGCAACCCGTTGCGGGGAACATAGAAATACCAGGCATCCGTCCGTCCGGTCTTGTTACACTCTCCCTTGTACAATTCTTTGCCAGTTTTTTTATAGGTTTTATCATAGGTTTATATTAGCAATGTCTTGGACGAGTTAAAAAAACAGTGCTGATCAATTATTTTTAAAAAGAGTTATGCCCCTTGGAAATATTGATTTTATGGAAAATTGCATTGTTAGCACTCTCATGTGCACAATTCTTGCCAGAATTTTATGGAACTTATATCATAGGTTTATACCAGCAATGTCTTTGACACTTGGGAAAATAAGTGCTTATCAAATATTTTTATAACAGAAATCACATTGCGTTTGCTCTGAAGCCTTCATTTCTCTAAGACATTTATAAAAAGTTTTAAAGAAGAAAAAAAAAGGAGTTTTTTTTTAGTTATTGCCCTTGTACCTTGGATAGATAAAATATGTGCAACATGGGGGACATTGGAACTCTGTTTTTTTATCTAATTGAAATTGCATGTGATTTAAGAATTCCAAATAACGGGATGTGGAACTAATAATGTTGGAATTTTGCATTGAGAATCAAAATTCATATGATCCTGTTAACATTGATATGATGAACATGTACTTCCATATATATTGGATTCCTTCCCCCCCCCCCCCCCCTGTAAATTTAGATTGTCAGACAAAGGCCCTGATGGAAGATTTTCTTATCTATTTTTGATAAGCCAAAAAAAAAACTTAATTGCACAATTGAGCATAATTAGATGAGCAAAAAAGTGTATATATCCATTCCTTTCTATGGCTGTCATTTTCTTCTTACCGTGCCAGAATATCAGTCTTATATGGGGGTAGGTTGAAATTCTCGTAATGGTCAAAACTAAATAAATTAGGAAACTTTAAAATTCGTTCTTGGTTCAATGAATTGATAGATTATACTTGACATTTTAATGTTAGTTCTATTTAAGCAAGGATGAAATGTAACTGTCCTTTTTGAAATATTTCAGTGCTGCTTCTATTGGAACAGAGATGTTAGAAATTGACTGTCATATTACCAAAGATGGTCAGGTGGTTGTATCACATGACAGTAGTCTTAAAAGAACATGCGAAACTGAGGGTCAGGTTTCAGATTTTACGTATGAGGTTAGTTATATTTCTTGGCCTATGGAAATTCTTGGTCTTTGTTAAAAATAAAGAGGTTTGGTATGATTGCAAATCAGACAACTATCTTCCAGAGTTCAAATGACGAAGATAGAAGCAATCATATGTCATCGTACGGCCTTAATCAATGATGAAAAAACCCATACCGTATAGTCAGCTTTAAAAGGCACCAACACTAAAAATGTCATGAATGTGAAACAATTTAAATGAGAAAATTAATGGCCTAATTTATAACAATACAATTTATGAAAAACAAATATGACAGACACGAACCAAAAACAACCACTGAATTACAGGCTCCTAACTTTGGACAGACACACAAAGAAATTGGAGGGGGTAAACATGTTTGTGTGCACTTAACCCTCTCCTAACCTGGGACAGTGGTGTAATAGCACAACATAATAACAAGCTGTAAATTGCTAAACTCAAAAGATCAGTAAGTTTTATCATGTTTTATATATAATGTCTGATTTAATATATTTGAAGGAACTACCACTCCTAAATCAAGAACACAGATTAGATTTCTATCAAAGTAAGTATACAATGAGTTTTATTTATCTTTATCTTTATGTAGATAATTAATAAAATTTTACAGCTATTTGGGCATTATAATGCATTATCAAAATCAAAGTCATGGAGAAACAGGTCACATTCAGTGATACAGTCCAAGCATGTTTCATTAAAAACATGTCCCAATTCATAAATACTTGACATGTAGGATCAGAAGTGGAAAATACAAAAGTAGAATTAGCCAGACTTGTTAGTTATTTGTCTACAAATAGGCCATGAAATGTCAATTGTAAAAAGTTCCAGACCTAAGTAAGCAAACTGACCAAACCAAATCCTTTAAACTTAAATCAGAGGTCTGCCAATATAAAAATTATACTGTTTCAAACCAAATTATTTTCTCAATATTATATTTTAGGATTGCTTGTTGATTGTTTAACAACACATTTCAAGTAAGTGGAAATGGCAGTATCAGCCAGATCCTATGTAAATAATTTTTAATACTCCAATGGATGGGAAAAGTTTTCTTCTTTACATGTATAGTGTTAGTAAGGGCAACAGGGATTTTTTCCAACATTAACAGTAAATATCCCCATGTTTCTTTTTGATTGAACATAAGCACCAATTGCTTTCTTCATTCAAATTTTTTTTTCGATATTAGGAGTTAATTTTAATTGAATGAAAACAGTGTCCTTTACTGCTTCATAAAAATATTTATTACTATAAAGTTCTATAAGTACCCGTATGTGATCTGAAGGCAGAAAACCTGTCTGTTGGTGAGCTGTTCATTTGTTTGCTATAGATGATACTTTACTTTTGCAGCATTTAAACTGAAGGGTGGAGAAGACAGAAGAATACCATTATTACGGGAAGTGTTCGAGGCATTTCCTGACATGCCTATAAATATAGATATTAAAATAGATGATGATGAACTTATAGAAAAGGTAAAAAGTACACTATTGTTTTAAAGAGACCCTACATAGTTGATGGGGAGGAGGGGTGATTTTTATGTTTACATAATGGTTGTGTATGTTTTGTGTATTATTTTAGTTGCAAGAGTAAATTTGAATGATATATATCAGAGTTTCTATCAAGGCTCCATTAACCACAGGCTTATGTCTCGGAAAAAAATTACCTATGTGTAATATTAAGGAATATAGGTATTTTTTGTCAGAGACAAGTGCCTATGCCATTAACATAGAAAAAATAAGCTATTACATTGTAATTTTTAACAACACAATTGAATTGTTTCACACTTACAACAATGTCATACTTTGTCAGTGCAACAGTGACTATGTTGACAATTTTACTACAAAATCAACTGTTTCCCTTTTCAAAGTAATACAGATATTGAAATATTATTTTTTCATGCAAATGCATGAGTTTCAGTCCTCCAGATTTTTTTCATATCATATATATTTCAGGTTAATGATATGATAAAAGAATTTAAGAGAGAACATTTAATAGCCTGGGGAAACAGGAGTAGTAAAGTGACAGATAAATTATACAGAATTGTAAGTACAAATAGTGAAAACTAATTTAAGTTTGGTACATTTATTAATGTTTCTTCATTTTGGAGTCCAATAATACCAGAAATGAATTCTCAACTTAATTAAAACCAGAAATTGAGAACTGACAAAAATGTGGAGAAAAGATTGTATGATATTTTGCAATACTAGTAAAATTATTTAATCAAAATAAATAAAATGAATAGTGTTGGCACAGTAGTGCAGAAATGTTATTTATGATCTCACTATTAAGTCATAAAGATGTCAAAACTTGCATAATATTTCACCCAAAAAAAAAACATTTAACATCTAGTTTTGGGATGTTTTTGTTTAAAATATGATTATAAATGAGCAACATCCTCATCAAAGAATATATTTGACACGTTTTGATATGATTGTATACAAAATCTTGAAGCAAAAAATCTAATGTCATGTAATGATGTAATTGGTATCTATAAAATTATTTATTGTTTGTTGCTTAACCTCCAGCGGCAATTATTTCATGCTCTATATATTAAGGGGAAGATTATAAATTTCAGGCAGTTTTCTTTTTAAATCAATAAATTTGAAGTTATAAAGCTAATATGTTATACAGAATTCAAATATATTATAACTGATATCTGATATACTAATGTTTTGTGTACAAGCAATAGCAGATCCAGGATTTTCAAAAAGGAGGCAAAAATTGTCAACCATAAAAGAGGGCTGTGGCTGCTAAAATTTTCGATCTACATTTCCTGTAAAAAAAATTATCAATAAATGTTAGTCTTAACACAGGTCGGCTATCTTTGTTTTACTTTCCTAAGAAATTACAAAATCAAATATTTTAACATGCAGTGACCTATTCCTTCACTTTGCTGTATTTTTTGCCAGATACAAAATTGCATTCATGTAGATAATTTGCATAAGTATGTGACTCAGCTTTTTATTTTTACCTCAGTGTACTTGCTAATTCGTAATTTATTCTAGGGTTCCATTTCAGAAGTTAAAACCTTACACACATGATGTTAATACATGTATATAAATATACACAGTATCTTCAAATTTTCCTTTTCAGAATCCTGATATTCCATTAATTTTCTCCATGCAGAAAGTGATATTGCTACTTGTATTATTTTACACTGGGTTATTGCCCTTTGTGCCAATCAAAGAATCACTACTAGAGGTTGTCATGCCAAGTATAGTGTTTGAGTAAGTATTTTATACTGGGTTATTGCCCTTTGTGCCAATCAAAGAATCACTACTAGTGGTTGTCATGCTAAGTATAGTGTTTGAGTAAGTATTTTACACTGGGTTATTGCCCTTTGGGCCAATCAAAGAATCACTACTAGAGGTTGTCATGCCAAGTATAGTGTTTGAGTAAGTATTTTATACTGACATACAGAAATTTTCATTTGAAGACGTACAAACTCTTTATGTCAAGCAAGTAAAGAAAAAGATTCTTCTCTGCAGTATTATTTAATATTTAGAAGGATGCATTCAAAGGTATTGGTAACCTATGAAAAACATTCAAACACTGTGTAAGGTGCAAAACATGAAAGATCTCAAACATGCTGCAGTAAGATATAAGTCCTCTCTTACTCTGACAAGGATGTACAGTATCTTTAGATTTTGCTCTTGTAACCTATTGATAATTTTATTTATACATTTCCACTGAGATATTTCTGTTTTATCTAGTTTTCATGGTGAAACAGCATATAGCTCTTTTTCTTGCATATCTAGTTGCTAAATGGCACCAAAAGATGTCCTTTTTATGAATGCCCAATCATGTCCATTTTATTACACCATTGAAACCTAAACGTCTCCTTTTTGTGAACGCTCAATGGTGTCCATATTTAAAAAAAAAACGCTGAAAATGTGCCTAATATTTATTTGTAATATAATGTCATCCTAAACATGCATGAAATATTTGCCACTGGACGTTAGGCAACCAACCAACAATCAATCAATCTTTTGTCCTAAATATGCATGAAATAATTGCCACCAAATTTTAAGCAAGCAACAATCAGTTAATCCATTATTTTCTGTTAGTGAATTTTGACCTCTTTAATAATAAATTTAACGTAATATGACAGGTAAATAAGATGATGCACATTTGAAATGACTTAAATGCACATCTTGCAAGTTTCACATACTGTATTTTAACGCTTCCTTTAAGTAATACATGTTTTTCTAACAATTAATTATTTTGGCTGGTATCATGGATGCTTATAATACATGCAAAGTTATTTCTCTTGTTTATGTCTCTTTAGTGAATGTACCGTAAATGTTATTGATGTCGCTGAGGGCATATTAACACTAAAATTTTTGAGATATCGTGACATTTTAAAGTGGACACGTTTTGGCGAATAACAATTATCTGACACATTTGGGGGATGTGAAATAGGACACATTTGGGTGATTTGGGATTTTAAGGACATGTTTGGACAAAATAGACATGTTTGGGAGGGGATGGACACGTTTGAGAGTGTTACATATATATGAAAAGTAAAGTGGTTACCAATTCTTTTGGATTGTTGAAAATTGTATTTTCATGGTTTTGATAAATTATGTATACAATACTATACAAAAGTTATATTTTGTTGAAATCTTATATTTTTAAACCCATGAAATCTATGAAAATTAGTAACAAATGAATAATAATGAGTCCGCTGTAGATTAAGATCAAGACAAGTATTTAATAAAATGCTCTGCAGGGCGCAGCTTGATACGACCGCAGAGGTCGAACCCTGAACAGTTGGGGCAAGTATGGACACAACATTCAAGCTTGATACAGCTTTGCATTTGGATTGTGATTAAATATTTGACACATCATAGGTTTCTGACACAGAATGAATGTGGTCTAAGAACTTAAAAATTTTAAATTGGACATTCACCTATTATGGTCTAATATCCAAAATCTAAATACATGGTTAGATTCAGCATATCAAAGAACCCCAAGAATTCAATTTTTGATGAAATCAAACAAAGTTTAATTTTGGACCCTTTTGACCTCAATGTGGACAAAGTTGATAATGGGGCCCAAAAATCAAAATCTAAATACATGGTTAGATTCAGCATATCAAAGAACCCCATATATTCAATTTTTGTTGAAATCAAACAAAGTTTAATTTTGGACCCCGATTTGGACCAACTTGAAAACTGGGCCCATAATCAAAAATCTAAATACATGTTTAGATTCAGCATATCAAAGAACCCTAAGAATTCAATTTTTGTTAAAATCAAACTAAGTTTAATTTTGGACCCTTTGGACCTTAATGTAGACCAATTTGAAAACGGAACCAAAAATTAAGAATCTAAATACACAGTTAGATTCGGCATATCAAAGAACCCCAACAATTCAATTTTTGATGAAATCAAACAAAGTTTAATTTTTGACCCTTTGGACCTCAATGTGGATCAATTTAAAAACGGGGCCCAAAATCCAAAAACTAAATACACGGTTAGATTCAACATATTAAAGAACCCCAAGAATTCAAGAATAAAACCCCATTGAAATTGGTCAAGAAATAAGCAATTTATACGAAGTATCTTCTTTTGCACAATACTGTGCAATTAAATATTTCTTGCTATTGCGCAATACTGTACAATTGACAATTTCTTGCTATTGCGCAATATTGTGCTATTGGATATTTCTTGCTATTGGGCAATACTGTGCAATTGAAGATTTCTTGCTATTGCGCAATACTGTGCAATTGAAGATTTCTTGCTATTGTGAAATACTGTGCAATTGAAAATTTCTTGCTATTGCACAATACTTATTATATAATAATTTACACATCCTATTTGGTGTGTATCTCCTACCATATCATTATTATTTGCTTTTAAATATAAATCAGAAATAACCAACTTAAAATGGAAAATTTAAAAAAAAAAAAAAAGGAAAAAAAGAGAAAAAATCACCCCCCCCCCCAAATTTTTTGAACCCCCTTATGATTCATCACCCCCAAACTCAATCCCAGCCTTCCCTTTGTGGTATGGTACCTTGCAGTATAATTTCAGAGAGATCCATACACTTAAACACAAGTTATTGTCTGGAAACTAGAAAAATGCTTATTTTTGGCCCCTTTTTGGCCCCCAATTCCTAAACGTTTCGGCAATTACCCCCAAACTCAATTCCAGCTTTCCCTTTGTGATATGGAACCTTGTAGTACAATTTGAGAAAGATCCATACACTTAAACACAAGTTATTGTCATGAAACTAGAAAAATGTTTGTTTTTTGCCCCTTTTTTGGCTCCTAATTCCTAAAATTTTGGGTCAATTACCCCCAAAATCAATCCCAGCATTCCTTTTGTGATATGGAACTTTGTGGTACAATGTCAGAGAGATCCATACACTAACACACAAGTTATGTCTGGAAGTTACAAAAATGCTTATTTTTGGCCCCTTTTTGGCCCCTAATTCCTTTACTGTTGGTACCATAACCCCCAAAATCAATCCCAACCTTCCTATTGTGGTATTGAACCTTGTGGTAAAATTTCATAGAGATCCATTCACTTAAACTAAAGTTAGAGTGCGAAAACCAATGTGTCTTCGGACGACGCCGAATAACGACGACGCCAACGTCATAACAATATACGACCACAAAAATTTTTTTGCGTTCGTATAAAAACTGGTTTCTAGTTTTTGACAGGCACAATGAAATACCAGTATATGGATTAAATAATTATCATTTTATATTTTCAGTGACAGGAAAATTCCTCTTAAATTCAGTAGAGCTATGAGATGTCTTTTACGGACAGCTGATGTGTAAGTTCCATTAATCAAGTATTGTCTTTGGGAAATGGTATGTCTGTTAGAATTTAGTAATTTCAAACACACAGACAATTCATATCAATTTGTTACAGGTTATTAGTTTACTCACTTCAAGTCCAAGACACCTCTAGTAGTGTCTACACCATATTTCAAGCTCTATAAAGTCTTAGGCAAGTTGTGAATAATTATAAACAAGACCAAAACCAAAATTCATAAATAAAAAACCAAAAACAAATAAGAAATGACTAAAGAAAAGCACTAACAAGTTTCCTGACATGGGACAGGCACAGGTATAGTTTTAAAAGACGTGTTATTCAGTTAAAAACATTTTATTTTTCAAAAATACAAATGGAATAGACAACTTTGCAGACCATATTTAAAAAATCGCCATAGACAGTCTATTTTGATATTTTTTACTTCACAAATATTAAATGATTTCATGTTTAAATTCAGGCTTTTTTATTGCAGTGATGATTTATATTAATTCATTACAGGTTATTAATGAGTCCAGTATTATTTAACTATTTAAGAAGAAGAGGAATGCAGGTTAGTATAATAATATCAGGTTTTGAAACAATAGTGTTCTCTCATGTCATTGCCTTCATCAGAAAAGTACATAAACCATATCTTTATGGTGTCACCAGCTAGTCCAAGTAAATACAGGGGGAACCTGTGCTTGTAAGACAACATTGAATAAACCTTAAGAGAAAAAACCATTAATTAGGGAAGTAGTTAAACACAACTATTTATCTTGAATGTAACACTAGTCAGTAAAGATTAATCATTAGAGAAATCCAATACATTGTAACTTAAAGAAGTCCCTATCTAAAATCATGTCACCTGACTATTGATCCTACTGAAGACAACATGCAAAGATGAAACTAGAGGCTCTAAAGAGCCTGTGTCGCTCACCTTGGTCTATGTGCATATCAAACAAAGGACACAGATGGATTCATGACAAAATTGTGTTTCGGTGATGGTGATGTGTTTGTAGATCTTACTTCACTGAACATTCTTGCTCCTTACTATTATCTCTATCTATAATGAACTTGGCCCAGTAGTTACAGTGGAAAATATTATGTAAAAATTTTCAAAAATTTACAAATTTTATGAAAATTGTAAAAAATTGACTATAAAGGGCAATAACTCCTTAAGGGGACAATTGACAATTTTGATCATGTTGACTTATTTGTAGATCTTACTTTGCTGTACATTATTGCGGTTTACAGTTTATCTCTATCTATAATAATATTCAAGATAATAACTAAAAGCTGCAAAATTTTCTTAAAATGACCAATTCAGGGGCAGCAAACCCAACAACGTGTTGCCTGATTGGGGTCTGAAAATTTCAGGGCAGATAGATTTTGACCTAATGAACAATTTTTTCCTCGTCAGATTTGCTCTAAATGCTTTGGTTTCAGAGATATGAGCCAAAAACTGCATTTTACCCTATGTACTATTTTTTAGCCATGTCGGCCATCTTGGTTTGCGGGCAGGGTCATGGGACACAATTTTTAAACTAGATACCCCAATAATGATTGTGGACAAGTTTGGTTAAATTTGTCTTCGTAGTTTCAGAGGAGAAGATTTTTGTAAAAGATTACAAAAATTTACGAAAAATGGTTAAAAGTTGACTATAAAGGGCAATAACTCCTTAAGGGGTCAACTGACCATTTTGGTCAAGTTGACTTATTTGTAGATCTTACTTTGCTGAACATTATTGCTGTTTACAGTTTATCTCTATCTATAATAATATTCAAGATAATAACCAAAAACGGCAAAATTTCCTTAAAATTACCAATTCAGGGACAGCAACCCAACAACAGGTTGTCCGATTCATCTGAAATTTTCAGGGCAGATAGATCTTGACCTCATGAACAATTTTATCCTCGTCAGATTTGCTCTAAATGCTTTGGTTTCAGAGATATAAGCCAAAATCTACATTTTACCCCTATGTTCTATTTTTAGCCATGGCGGCCATCTTGGTTGGTTGGCCGGGTCACCGGACACATTTTTGTCGAGCCTGCGACTTTTGTCGCAGAAAGCTCGACATAGGGATAGTGATCCGGCGGCGGCTACGGCGGCGGCGGCGTTAGCTAACTTCTTAAAAGCTTTATATTTTAGAAGGTGGAAGGTCTGGATGCTTCATACTTTGTATATGGATGCCTCATGTTACGAAGTTTCCGTCAGTCACATGTCCAATGTCCTTGACCTCATTTTCATGGTTCAGTGACTACTTGAAAAAAAAGTTAAGATTTTTTGTAATGTTAGATTCTCTCTTATTATAAGTAATAGGATAACTATATTTGGTGTAATGTTAGATTCTCTCTTATTATAAGTAATAGGATAACTATATTTGGTATGTGCGTACCTTGCAAGGTCCTCATGCCCGTCAGACAGTTTTCTCTTGACCTCGACCTCATTTCATGGATCAGTGAACAAGGTTAAGTTTTGGTGGTCAAGTCCATATCTCAGATACTATAAGCAATAGGTCTAGTATATTCGGTGTATGGAAGGACTGTAAGGTGTACATGTCCAACTGGCAGGTGTCATCCGACCTTGACCTCATTTTCATGGTTCAGTGGTTATAGTTAAGTTTTTGTGTTTTGGTCTGTTTTTCTTATACTGTATGCCATAGGTCTACTATATTTGGTGTATGGAATGATTGTAAGGTGTACATGTCTAGCGGGCAGGTGTCATCTGACCTTGACCTCATTTTCATGGTTCAGTGGTCAAAGTTAAGTTTTTGAGTTTTGGTCTTTTTTTCTAGTACTATATGCAATAGTTCAACTATATTTGGTATGTGCGTACCTTGCAAGGTCCTCATGCCCGTCAGACAGTTTTCACTTGACCTCGACCTCATTTCATGGATCAGTGAACAAGGTTAAGTTTTGGTGGTCAAGTCCATATCTCAGATACTATAAGCAATAGGTCTAGTATATTCGGTGTATGGAAGGACTGTAAGGTGTACATGTCCAACTGGCAGGTGTCATCTGACCTTGACCTCATTTTCATGGTTCAGTGGTTATAGTTAAGTTTTTGTGTTTTGGTTTGTTTTTCTTATACTGTATGCCATAGGTCTACTATATTTGGTGTATGGAATGATTGTAAGGTGTACATGTCTAGCGGGCAGGTGTCATCTGACCTTGACCTCATTTTCATGGTTCAGTGGTCAAAGTTAAGTTTTTTGAGTTTTGGTCCTTTTTTAGCTCACCTGACCTGAAAGGTCAAGTGAGCTTTTCTCATCACTTTGCGTCCGTCGTCCGTCGTCCGTCGTCCGTCGTCCGTCGTCCGTAAACTTTTACAAAAATCTTCTCCTCTGAAACTACTGGGCCAAATTTAACCAAACTTGGCCACAATCATCATTGGGGTATCTAGTTTTAAAAATGTGTGGCGTGACCCGGTCAACCAACCAAGATGGCCGCCACGGCTAAAAATAAAACATAGGGGTAAAATGCAGTTTTTAGCTTATAACTCAAAAACCAAAGCATTAAGAGCAAATCTGACATGGGGTAAAATTGTTCATCAGGTCAAGATCTATCTGCCCTGAAATTTTCAGATGAATCGGACAACCCGTTATTGTGTTGCTGCCCCTGAATTGGTAATTTTAAGGAAATTTTGCTGTTTTTGGTTATTATCTTGAATATTATTATAGATAGAGATAAACTGTAAACAGCAATAATGTTCAGCAAAGTAAGATTTACAAATAAGTCAATATAACCGAAATGGTCAGTTGACCCCTTTAGGAGTAATTGCCCTTTATAGTCAATTTTTAACCATTTTTCGTAAATCTTAGTAATCTTTTACAAAAATCTTCTCCTCTGAAAAAACTGGGCCAAATTAAACCAAACTTGGCCACAATCATCATTGGGGTATCTAGTTTAAATAATGTGTGGCATGACCCGGCCAACCAACCAAGATGGCCGCCACAGCTAAAAATAAAACATAGGGGTAAAATGCAGTTTTTGGCTTATAACTCAAAAACCAAAGCATTTAGAGCAAATCTGACATGAAGTAAAATTGTTTATCAGGTCAAGATCTATCTGCCCTGAAATTTTCAGATGAATCGAACAACCTGTTGTTGGGTTGCTGCCCCTGAATTGGTAATTTTAAGAAAATTTTGCTGTTTTTGGTTATTATCTTGAATATTATTATAGATAGAGATAAACTGTAAACAGCAATAATGTTCAGCAAAGTAAGATTAACAAATAAGTCAACATGACTGAAATGGTCAGTTGACCCCTTTAGGAGTTATTGCCCTTTATAGTCAATTTTTAACAATTTTTCGTAAATCTTAGTAATCTTTTACAAAAATCTTCTCCTCTGAAAATCCGTGGCCAAATTAAACCAAACTTGGCCACAATCATCATTTGGTTATCTAGTTTTCAAAATGTGTGGCGTGACCTGGTCAACCAACCAAGATGGCCGCCACGGCTAAAAATAGAACATAGGGGTAAAATTCAGTTTTTGGCTTTTAACTCAAAAACCAAAGCATTTAAAGCAAATCTGACATGAAGTAAAATTGTTTATCAGGTCAAGATCTATCTGCCCTGAAATTTTCAGATGAATCGGACAACCCGTTATTGGGTTGCTGCCCCTGAATTGGTAATTTTAAGGAAATTTTGCTGTTTTTATACGACCGCAAAAATTAAAAATTTTTTGGTCGTATATTGGTATGACGTTGGCGTCGTCGTCGTCGTCGTCGTCGTCGTCGTCGTCGTCGTCCGGCGTCGTCGTCGTCCGGCGTCGTCTGGCGTCGTCCGAAGACACATTGGTTTTCGCACTCTAACTTTAGTTTAAGTTAATGGATCTCCATGAAATTTTACCATAAGGTTCAATACCACGAAAGGAAGGTTGGGATTGATTTTGGGGGTTATGGTACCAACAGTTAAGGAATTAGGGGCCAAAAAGGGGCCAAAAATAAGCATTTTTGTAACTTCCAGACAATAAGTTGTGTGTAAGTGTATGGATCTCTCTGACATTGAACCACAAGGTTCCATATCACATAGGGAAGGCTGTAATTGATTTTGGGGGTATTTGCCTCAAAATTTTAGGAATTAGGGGCCAAAAAAGGGGCAAAAAACAAGCATTTTTCTAGTTTCATGACAATTACTTGTGTGTAAGTGTTTGGATATTTCTTAAATTGTACTACAAGGTTCCATATCACAAAGGGAAAGCTGGAATTGAGTTTGGGGGTAATTGCCCGAAACGTTTAGGAATTGGGGGCCAAAAAGGGGCCAAAAATAAGCATTTTTCTAGTTTCCAGACAATAACTTGTGTTCAATTGTATGGATCTCTCTGAAATTGTACTGCAAGATACCATACCACAAAGGGAAGGCTGGGATTGAGTTTGGGGTGATGAATCATAAGGGGGTTCAAAAAATTTGGGGGGGGGGGGGTTTCTTTTTTTTTCTTTTTTTCCTTTTTTTTTTCTTTTTTTCCTTTTTTTTTTCTTTTAAAATTTTCCATTTTAAGTTGGTTATTTCTGATTTATATTTAAAAGCAAATAATAATGATATGGTAGGAAATACACACCAAACAGGATGTGTAAATTATTATACAATAAGTATTGTGCAATAGCAAGAAATTTTCAATTGCACAGTATTGCACAATAGCAAGAAATCTTCAATTGCACAGTATTGCGCAATAGCAAGAAATCTTCAATTGCACAGTATTGCGCAATAGCAAGAAATATCCAATAGCACAATATTGCGCAATAGCAAGAAATTGTCAATTGTACAGTATTGCGCAATAGCAAGAAATATTCAATTGCACAGTATTGTGCAAAAGAATATACTTTGTATAAATTGCTTATTTCTTGATCAATTTCAATGGGGTTTTATTCTTGAATTCTTGGGGTTCTTTAATATGCTGAATCTAACCATGTATTAAGTTTTTGGATTTTGGGCCCTGTTTTTAAATTGGTCCACATTGAGGTCCAAAGGGTCCAAAATTTAACTTTGTTTGATTTCATCAAAAATTGAATTATTGGGGTTCTGTGATATGCCGAATCTAACCATGTATTTAGATTCTTAATTTTTGGTTCCGTTTTCAAATTGGTCTACATAAAGGTCCAAAGGGTCCAAAATTAAAGTTAGTTTGATTTTAACAAAAATTGAATATTTAGGGTTCTTTGATATGCTGAATCTAAACATGTGTTTAGATTTTTGATTATGGGCCCAGTTTTCAAGTTGGTCCAAATCGGTGTCCAAAATTAAACTTTGTTTGATTTCAACAAAAATTGAATATATGGGGTTCTTTGATATGCTGAATCTAACCATGTATTTAGATTTTTGATTTTTGGGCCCCGTTATCAACTTTGTCCACATTGAGATCAAAAGGGTCCAAAATTAAACTTTGTTTGATTTCATCAAAAATTGAATTCTTGGGGTTCTTTGATATGCTGAATCTAACCATGTATTTAGATTTTGGATATTGGACCATAATAGGTGAATGTCCAATTTAAAATTTTTAAGTTCTTAGACCACATTCATTCTGTGTCAGAAACCTATGCTGTGTCAAATATTTAATCACAATCCAAATTCAGAGCTGTATCAAGCTTGAATGTTGTGTCCATACTTGCCCCAACTGTTCAGGGTTCGACCTCTGCGGTCGTATCAAGCTGCGCCCTGCGGAGCATTTTATTGGTTATTATCTTGAATATTATTATAGATAGAGATAAACTGTAAAAAACAATAAATGTCGGCAAAGTAAGATCTACAAATAAGTCAACATGACCGAAATTGTCAGTTGACCCTTTTAGGAGTTATTGCCCTTTATAGTCAATTTTTAACCATTTTTTCGTAAATCTTAGTAATCTTTTACAAAAATCTTCTCCTCTGAAACTACTGGGCCAAGTTAATTATAGATAGAGATAATTGTAAGCAGGAAAAATGTTCAGTAAATTAAGATGTACAAACACGTCACCATCACCAAAACACAATTTTGTCATGAATCCATCTGCGTCCTTTGTTTAATATTCACATAGACCAAGGTGAGCGACACAGGCTCTTTAGAGCCTCTAGTTCTAATACTATATGCAATAGTTCAACTATATTTGGTGTATGGAAATATTTTATGATCTATTTGGCAGTCACACAGGTTTTATTTGACCTTGACCTCATTTTCAAGGTTCATTGCTCAGTGTTAAGTTTTTGTGTTTCAGTCTGTTTTTCTTAAACTATAAGCAATAGGTCAATTATATTTGTTGTATGGAAGAATTGGTAGCTGTACATGCCTGCCTAGCATGGTTCATCTGACCTTGACCTCATTTTCATGGTTCATTGGTCAATGTTTAGTTTACTTGGTTAATGTTAAGTTTATGTGACAGTTGTAATAAAGCTTTATATTTAGGACTATCAACATAATATCAATGATTAGTAAAGAAGGCGAGACATTTCAGCGTGTGCACTCTTGTTTAAACTAGATACCCCAATGATGATTGTGGCCAAGTTTGGTTAAATTTGGCCAAGTAGTTTCAGAGGAGAAGATTTTTGTAAAAGATTACAAAAATTTACAAAAAATGGTTAAAAATTGACTATAAAGGGCAATAACTCCTTAAGGGGTCAACTGACCATTTTGGTCAAGTTGACTTATTTGTAGATCTTACTTTGCTGAACATTATTGCTGTTTACAGTTTATCTCTATCTATAATAATATTCAAGATAATAACCAAAAACGGCAAAATTTCCTTAAAATTACAAATTCAGGGACAGCAACGGGTTGTTCGATTCATCTGAAAATTTCAGGGCAGATAGATCTTGACCTGATAAACAATTTTACCCCATGTCAGATTTGCTCTAAATGCTTTGGTTTCAGAGATATAAGCCAAAATCTACATTTTACCCCTATGTTCTATTTTTAGCCATGGCGGCCATCTTGGTTGGTTGACTGGATCACCGGACACATTTTTTAAATTAGATACCCCAATGATGATTGTGACCAAGTTTGGTTAAATTTGATCCAGTAGTTTCAGAGGAGAAGATTTTTGTAAAAGTTTACGGACGACGGACGCAGGACGACGGACGACGGACGCAAAGTGATGAGAAAAGCTCACTTGACCTTTCAAGTCAGGTGAGCTAAAAAAACAGAGGAAATTAGTGAAGGTTTTTAATGACAGAGACAGACTCAACCTGTTTTAGGACCTGGTGAAAATAACCATGCAGAGGTATAAATGCTTTTTGAACTGTACCTTCTACACAGCAACAATCCTGTATCACTGACATAGCTTACTAGTATATATGTTATGGCCGCCTATGTAAATGGCAACACACTATACCATTGTAGACTGATGTTCCAAACTTGCAAATCCACTTCAAACATACAAATCAAGATAAAAATCATGAGAGAATGGATTAAACTCAAAACAGTACTTGACCTAAGTAATATGTCCTTTAAACCATATTCTGCCATTGAGTCATTATCATTAAGATCTCTCATCATACTATACATGCAGGCATATTATATATTTTCCTCTTCTAAGTTTTTCATTTGATGGAGAGAGAAAAAAAGTAATTTTTATGTAAGACCATGTATTCATTACTGTTGCTAAACTCTGATTGTGCAAAGAATGGGATGGGGAAGATGGAAATAACACCTCATACATTTTGTGCATTTAAAGCGCTTTATTGGTATATTGGAGTTTTTTTTAAGGAAAAATATAATATTTCCTGTGAAACAATAAGAAATCAGCGTCTTCTGTCTGTAAATAATCTTCCTTTCCAGTTTTTAATGCCATAATCGGTGTCATATGACTGGAATACTGACTAGTATTTACTATAATGCTTACATTTTAAACCAATGAATTTGATTTATTTTACAGACATACTTGTGGGTTTTAAATGATGAGGAGGAATATACTAGGGCCTTCAGACTGGGAGCTGATGGTGTGATGACAGACTTTCCAACAAAACTGAAAAAATATTTAGACTGTCACCCTGAATATAAAAGTCAGAAGTCAGATGTATAACATAGGGCTTTTATATTAGAATCAAAAACTTTGTTTATATCAAATGATATTTTGCTTGAACCTAAAACACTTTGTTGTAGCAACCAATATTTTGCTTGAAACAAAATTCCTCTGTTGTATAAAACAAATAATGCTTGAACCAATACCACTTGTTGTACCAAACAATATTTAGCTTGAACCTGAATTTCTTTGTCATACCAAACAATATTTAGCTTGAACCAATACCACTTGTTGTACCATACAATATTAAGCTTGAACCTGAATTTCTTTGTCATACCAAACAATATTTAGCTTGAACCAAATTTCTCTGTCATACCAAACAATATTTTGCTTGAACCAAATTTCTCTGTCATACAAAACAATATTTTGCTTGAATCAAATTTCTCTGTCATACCAAACAATATTTTGATTGAACCGAAATTTCTTTGTCGTACCAAACAATATTTTGATTGAACCAAAATTTCTTTGTTGTACCAAACAATATTTTGATTGAACCGAAATTTCTTTGTCGTACCAAACAATATTTTGATTGAACCGAAATTTCTTTGTCGTACCAAACAATATTTTGATTGAACCGAAATTTCTTTGATGTACCAACAATATTTTTCTTGAACCAAAATTTTTATTGTATGTTGTTTTTGTATGGGGCTAAATTTAAAACATCCTTTTATACTCTACTTGAACAAAGGGCAATTGATAACTATTGCCATCGCTTACCTCTGCACGGTGTTTTTTTCATTGTTGTCCTGCAATGTTTTTTCAATTATTACCATGAAACCATTTAGCTAATCAAAACCAAGTTTGACCACAATTATAATATCAAAATTTAGCAATGATCAGATTTTCCATTGCATGTTAATGTTGTATGGGGCCAAATTAAAAAATATCTTTTTATGTTCTACTTGACCAAAGGGCAATTGATAGCTATTGTCGAAATTCAAGCCCCTGCAGTGTGTTTTGCCATTATTGCCCTGCAATATTTATTTCAATTATCACCCTTAAACCATTTGGCCAATCAAAACCAAGTTATCAAAATTTAGATGTTGCATGATAAGAAATGGGAATTTTTTGTTGTTTTTTCAATCAATTTCAGTAATTAGGTTAAAAAGCAAAAATTTTTCCTTTTATAAATTCAATCTTTAAGAAGATTAGAATGAGGGCAAAAACACTAAAATAAAACCTTTAAAAAGAATTTGAACTAACAAATCATGAAATTTAATCTCTGTTAAAATAAAGAACTTTTTCATTAAGGAGTTTCACTAAATAATAAGAGAATTTAGTAGGATATATGCTTACTTTTATTATGTACTAGCTGATGTTATGTCACAGGTACAAATATATGTCAATTATGATGTCTGCATGAGGTAAAAGATTTTTTACAAAGGTTTACAAATATATGTCTAAACTTTATAAAAAAAAACACTGTTTTTTTTTTTAGCTTTCATCACTTGGTGTCTGGTATCCTCTGTTAACTTTTACAAAAATCTTCTCCTCTGAAACAACTGGGCCTATTGGAACCAAAGTTGGCAACAATCATTCTTGGGTATCTTATTAAGAAGTGTGTCTGATGATTCCCACCTGGCAACCAACACGACCATCAAGGCTAAAAATAAAATATAGGACTGAAATTTTTTTAATGCAAGTATTTTGAAAACCATTATAGATAAAGAAAATCTCAGGCAAAAATTCACATCAAGGTCTACCTACTTTCAATCTTGACCAAAATTGTCCTTATAGGTGTTATTGATTTTAAATGACAATTTTAACCAATTTTATGGGTTTTTGTTTTCTACTGTCTTGATTGATTCAATGAATGATATTTGTAACATATAAGTCAATGGTCTAAAAGTCTAAATCTAGTATAGAATGGTTTTTAACAATCATATATAGATTTTCTAAGCTCACCTGGCCTTCCATTGACCATTCCTTATCATCCAACTTCCTTAAACTGATCTTATTTTTATTTCCTTTTCTGAAACTACTTATCCAATTTTAACAAAACTTGGCAGCAATTATGGAGGGAAGGTATTCTAAAAAACATTTAAATTTTATACATATTGCATGGACAAAAATGGATACCAGGGCAATCTTTGATTCTGATTTGCCATTTTTCAAGCTAGAAGGCAAAATGTTATGAAACTTTGGGACTGATGGTTAAAGACCCTCAACAATGTTCTTCATTCAATTTTTATCAAATAGCAAACTTGAAGGCATAGGTTGCACATGGTTCCCATTAAGACCCTTTGGAAAATCACATTCTCTCTCAAAACATCCTGGCAGTAATGATGTATGGAAGATCCCTTGTAAGTAATCATCATTTGGTTCTGATTTGATGGATTATAGAGACAATGTTAGATTCTGATTGACAAATTTCAAAAACCTTCTCTTCCAAACTGCAAGAAGGTGGTAGGATTTCAAACTTAAGTGGATTAAAACAAAGCAATAGAAAGTTAGATTTGTCAGAAGTTATCTTCTCTTGAGCAATTAGGGGATAAATATACTAGGTGAGCGATTTCAGGCTCCAGTTTTATAATATGTATTATCTCCTGAAGTAGATGACTTTTTGTAGCAAAGTTTTTTACTTTTAAATAAATTTTCATAAATATTTATTTTCAAATGACTTGCAGCATAAAACAGTTATCTTACAGCAAACTTTTTTGTAACATACATGTACTATCATATATAATTCATGGCAATCAGAGTATTTTGCAAGTGTTTGGCATCGTTATCTGTTATGAAAAAAGTAATTGTCTATTTGTCATCACAGTAGCATTAAACAGTATTCTTCTTTAGAAATCCAAAAAGGGAATATACATTGTATTATTGTAGTGAATAAACCATTTACAGTACTAGTATTGAAATTTTAGCTGTCATCAATAACTGTGATTGATGGTTGCAATAATCTTTTTTATGACTTACTACTACATTGTCATAAAACTAACTTCTACCACTTTAATAGTTGAATATTGCTATGTATATTATAATAATATGGTACAGTCTCCTGATGTGAACTTGTTATACACATAACCTGCCCTAGCCCACCTTTCCATGACCATGTAAACTTTTGTCATTGTTGTTTTTATAGTATATTGTTATTTATTTATTGATATTGTAAAAATAAAATGTAGAATTTGTTTTGTTACTTAAATACTTATCATTTGTATGCCCAATATAACAAAAACCATGAATTCAAGTACTGGTATTCCCAAAAATAAATATTTTTCTCAATCCACAAAAAAATTGATATTAGCAAAAATAAAATGAATCCACAATAGGTTGATAAGTATACACATTGATTATATATGCTACATCAGGTTCAATATATGAGATTATACTTTTAGATGTTTCTCTGCTTATACAATTTTTTAACAATAGTCCTGAGGTTTTGAGTTGAAATGGTTGATTTGAAGTGCAATTAAAAACTGACAACTATTCATAAAATACCTTATTTATAACTGTTTAACAAAAAACTTAGCTGCTTTATTGTCACCCATATTTGTGAAAACGATTTCATCATTAACTTTATATTCATCATATCTAACCGTGTACAAATTTTCAAAATCAAATTTCTCAAAGATTTTCTGTGATATGTTGGAAGTACATTCACCAGCAATGCACACTTGGGTAAATCCTAGTTCTTTACAAAATGCTAGTGAAGCCTGCATTAATTTAGAGGCTATTCCACGCCCATGGTAATTCTTCCCCGTCGACAAATGAAGAAAATGTACTGCCTTTTTAACACCAAAATGTTTAAATACATTCTTTTCCTCCCATTTGTGTGCCAGAAAAGTTCTGATCTTTTTCAAATTTTCATTTTGAATCTGCGGTACTGCTGTGTGGTCTGCTTCATTTAATATTTCTATACACATTGTCCTACATCCTATGATATCGCCTGTAGTGTTGGACACCATTAAGATTGACAGATTGTCTTTTAAACGTGATGCAGTCCTTCTAGTTGTATCTTCACAAACTTTCAGGCCTACAGATTTGCATAAGGGTTCATCTATCCAAAAATTTTCTTTCAAAAACAAGATAAGACTATCCATGCGTTCTTCTGAGGATAATTCTAAATGCATACCAGAGAGATGTAATGAATTGCTGATTCCTTTCAAAACCTATGAAAATGAAAGTAATTTGTAATTCACATGTTTTATATTATGAAATGAGCATATATTTAAGCCTGCCTGATGTGCAGGAGCCTGTCCTTTGTCATGAACCTCGTTAACTGTTTATTCTAAGGTAAACATTAAATAAATGTGGATAGTGTCCACATGTGGACACAGATGATGCCCCTGCTTGCATATCATATAGTTATAAAGGGACATAACTGAAGAATGGTAAAAGTGACGCTACCCAAATTTGAAGTTGATCTGAGTTTTGTGGTAATAAGCATTGTGTGTAAGTCTCATAACATTTGGTTGAGGCTAACTTAAGAAGAGAACAGAAACTAAAAATGCAGCAATTTTTATATTTGTAAACACGCATAACTCTAGAACGGTTGTGTATAAGTTTTATAACATTTGGTTGAGACAAACTAAAAAATTCAGCAATTTTTATTTTTAGAAAGGGACATAACTCAAGAATGGTAACAAACTAAAGTTAGAAAACGGAAACAAAAAATTTGTACTTGATCTTAGTTTTGTGGTAACGAAAATTTTGTATAGGTTTCATAATGTTTGGTTGGGGCAAACTTCAGCCACAGAATGGAAACTAAAAATTTTGCAATTTTTCGATTTATAAAGGGGCATAACTCAATAATGGTTAAAGTGACACTACCCAAATTCAACTCGATCTGTGTTTTATCAGTGGAAGTCAAAATAAAACATTGCATTGTATAAAGCATTGATTGTAGTTGATTCAACTATAATCATGGACAAAGGAAGATAACTCCAATTTTAAAAATAACTTGATATTTAGAAGAAAATAAAAATTTAGCAATTTTTCTATTTATAAAGGGGCATAACTCTAGAACGGTTAAAGTGACGCCACCAAAATTCAAACTTGATCTGTGTTTTGTGGTAATAAGCATTGTGTATAAGTTTCATAACATTTGGTTGAGGCAAACTTAAGTTAGAGAACGGAAACTAAACATTTTGCAATTTTTCCATTTACAAAGGGGCATAACTCTAGAACGGTTAAAGTGACGCCACCAAAATTCAAACTTGATCTGTGTTTTGTGGTAATAAGCATTGTGTATAAGTTTCATAACATTTGGTTGAGGCAAACTTAAGTTAGAGAACGGAAACTAAAAATTTAGCAATTTTTCCATTTATAGAGGGGCATAACTCTACAACGGTTTAAGTGACGCCACCAAAACTCAAACTTGATCTGTGTTTTGTGGTAATTAGCATTGTGTATAAGTTTCATAACGTTTGATTGAGGCAAACTCAAGTTAGAGAACGGAAACCAATTTTAGGACGTACGGACGGACGTACGTACAGACGGACAAGGGTAAAACTTAATGCCCCCACCGCTACGGCGGGGGCATAAAAATAGTTGAGATTTTATTATGTTTATTGTGTTTAAGACCATATAAGTGGTATAATGACACCAGTTTTGATCATTTGATTTACAGAACAGCTATTTAAACTCTGATACTATCATTCAAATAGATGTTTTAAAGGAAAGCAAGGATTTGTATAGTTACAAAGTTGAACTGTCTGCGAGTGTCATAGATGTAATGTCTGTGAGTGTCATTAGTTGTAATGTCCGTGAGCTTCCTTAGTTGTAATGTCTGTGAGCGTCATTAGATGTTATATATTTGTGTGTCATTAGTTGTAATGTCTGTGCCATAATTTGTACTATCTGTTGGTATCATTAGCTGTAATGTCCGTGATCGTCATTAGTTGTAATGTTCGTCGGTGTCATTAGTTGATATGTCATAAGATGTAATGTTTGTGCACTGAGTGTCATTAATTGTACTGTCCGTGAGCGTCATTAGATGTAATGTATTTGAGTGTCAGTAGCTGTAATGTCTGTGAGTGTCATAATTTGTACTATCTGTTGGTGTCATAAGTTGTAATGTTCGTTAGTAACATTAGTTGTAATGTCTGTGAGTACTATTAGTTGTGGTGTATGTCGATGTTATAAGTTACACTGTCCGTCGGTGTAATTTGTTGATATTTATGTCGATGTCATTTGTTATACTGACCATCAGTGTCATTGGTTGTAATGTATATCGATGTAATAAGTTATACTGTCCTTCGGTGTCATTGGTTGTAACTTATATCGATGTAATAAGTTATATTGTCCTTCGGCGTCAATGGTTGTAATTTATCGATGTTATAAGTTTTACTGACCGTCGATGTCATTGGTTGTAATGTATATCGATGTCATGAGTTATAATGTCTGTCAATGTAATTGGTTGTAATGTATATCGATGTAATAAGTTATACTGACTGTCTGTGTCATTGGTTGATATGTATATCGATGTCATAAGTTATATTTTACTGACTGTCGATATCATTGGTTATAATGTATATTGATGTCATAAGTGTAATTTTATTATCGATCAGTGCTTCATGTACAATTGGTCAACATTATCGTTGTATTGTTGATTGGTATGACTTATTGTACTATCACTCTGTGTAATCTATTGTACTATCGCTGTCCCCAGTTGTAATTTTGGTTTGTTTTATCAGTCTCACTATCAGTCGAGTTAATTTGTTATATCATCTTATAATATTATTCATTTTGTACAATCAATTGTTGTTCTTCGTGGTAATATAAATCGGTGTCTTCAGTTGTTCTTAAAAGTTACCATTAGTTGTTCCATTTTGACTGCTGTACCCCTATTTTTGACATTTTTACCTATTATGTCTGTTTGTTTTGTTCACACATTGTTGTCAATATAATGGAATTTTAGGCGACTGTCATACAAGTGAGAGATTTACCTAGCTATAAAAGGTTTAATCCATCATTTTCTACATAAGGAAATGCATTTACCAAGTCAGGAATATGATACTGTAAATTCAGAAATTATTGCGATGTTTTTATCATTGCGAAAAATGCGACAGGGTTGTAATCGCAATAATTTAAACTCGCATTTTGAAATTTTTTATTTGAATTAAACAGGAGTTTTCTCAATATCGCAAAAATTAAAATCGCATTTTAGTCTAAAATGACAAAATCGCAATAATAAATGCATGCAATAATTTCTAAATTTACAGTAGTTGTTTTCCATTCGTTTGATGTGTTTGAGCTTTCAATTTTGCCATTTGATAAAGGACTATCTGTTTTGAATTTTCTTGGAGTTCGGTATTTTTGTTATTTTACTTTTTAGTAGATATCTTTATTAATACTGTCAACCAGTTTCTTTAAGTGTACTCTCGGGCCGTGCCACATGTAAAAGCTAAGTCAAAAGTGTAATGCAAAAAATGATCAAAATGATCAACAGGACAAAATTCATATATCTACTCTGAAAATTTCAGAAAAATCTCTCAACCACTTTTAAAGCTCTTGCCCCTGATGTATCCATTTTTGATTCAGCCATGCTGGATCTATGCGACCACTCTGTTTTTGCAGATGGTGCAGAGTACTAAGTTGAAGACATATCATGAAACTAATTATGTGTTTTAAAGACTTGCAGAAACTTTATACACCATTTTAATCATCAACTGCAAACTTTTGACATGTTATTTGTCCTTAAATTAAGAAAATATTGGTCGAATAGTGACTTTTTTTAGATATACACTTGCATATAGTTCCTTTCTAAATCAAAATTTATAATAATTTACTATTTATGAATTAATGTGAAAAAATAATATACATCAATTTAATCAATTGATAAGAATTTTGAAAGTATTTTATTAGTATCTTATGCCTGTGCAAGTTATTGAAGAAAAATTGGGTCACTCAAGATGTGTATTGATATATATGTTGATTCCCACACTTTTTTTGAAATGCTATTACTCCAATTCTTCCTTTATTGATACTATACCAGTATGATTATCAACTCATAATTTTCAAACAATTACACTCAAAGGTGTAAGTATTATTGGAAACAACTCCAATCTTAATTCCCCACAGTTAATATCTCATGACCTGTTACATAATTAAATAGACACAATATATTACACACCTAACTGAATACACAAATTATTGACCTCAATAGTAAACCTACAAATGTATTATTTATTCTGATGTACACTACATTGAAATGATCTGTCAATTTTGTGTGTAAGCTAGCTGAACGATTAATCAAATGTGGGTTTTTTTAAAAGAAAAGACAAAAAATATAAAAATATGTAAAATAAAATGCAAGCTAATTTTATTTCACTTGTAAAATCAGTGTCATTATCATCATAATCAAGTTCTTTTTTTATAATGAATTTCTTTTTATTTGCACATGAGCACATTTATCAAGTTCTAATTAATTAGTTACAATTATCAGAAATTTGGTTGAAACAATAAACTAAAATTGCATAACTCTTACCTGAGCATAATCTGCAATAAAATTTATTTGTTTGTTCTCCATTCATTATATTGCCATTTAACAATAAATAGAAATACGTGTATCTCAGCATTAGGTATTTGTACATTAAAATTTGAATACAGGAAATGTATTTTTTCTAAATGAAGAATGAACAACAATTTAGATAAAAAAATAGTTATTATAAATTTGTGTTGTTAAGAAAGTGCACCACCAAGACCTCTTTCTGGAAATTATTAAGCCAATTATTATGAATGGCATATAAAAAGATATATCACTTGTTTGACAATTTCCCTTTCCATTCTTGTCAAAACCATTAAATCGCAAATATTTATCAAACAAAATCTGACAGTGTCTAAAATTGAAATATCAATATAAATATTTGCATCAATAGTGCAAATTTCCCTATTATTTGACAATAACATAAAACATTTACAGTAAGATTATGGAAATGAAAAGAGGAAAAAAATTTTGAAAAAAGAATGGTCAGAAAGAATATCAGACTAGCTATCAATATGGCTGGATCACAACATCGATGATGCTTTGATTTTCTATTTTTTGACCATTATCTTGAAAACTATAGCAGCTAGGTCAAACGTGTAAATGCATAAATGATCAGCATGATAAGATCTAACTACCCTGAAATTTCAGGGAAACAATAAAACCTATCTTTTTTTAACCTCACAGTTTTTGCATAGTCGTTGTATTGACAATTAATAGGAACTAGGTCTAAAACTGAAATGCAAAAAATATCAGCATGGCAAGATTTAACAACCACCTTGAACATTACAGAAAACATGTTTATCAGTTTGGAGTTCTTGCCCCTGCAATTACATTTTTTTTTCTAATTTTCGCAGATTTTTGTTGTTATCTTGGAAATTATAGGAGCAAAAAAGTTACAAGTGTAAATTGCCATTATGATAATCACGACAATATCTATCTGCTTTGAAACTTTAGGAAAATTTGACAATCGATTTCCGAGTTATTGCCCCTGAAATGTAAATTTTTATGGTTTTTGCAGTTTTTGGTTGTTACTTAATCAAATAAAGAAGCTAGGTTTTAAACGTGAATAGTACAAAAATTATCATCATCAAATAGAATAACTAGTATGTGCACAGAGGCGGATTTAAGGGGGCGCGGGCCCTCTGTTAAGCAGTCAGTGGACCCCCACTTATGAAAATTTCTGGATCCGCCACTGGTGCATACATAAAGTTTCTCATAAGCAGAATGGAACTTTTTCACCTGATGAGCGATACAGGCACAGAACTATGTGGGCCTTGTTTTGTACCTGCTCAGTATAAAAGCGTCTTTCTACCTGTTCAGTATACATATATCTACGTCATAACATTAGGAAAAAAATGATAACTTAACTCTCGAATAATGTTTTGTAAGCAAATGAAACAAGTGTACAGCATTGTTCGTCAGTAAGCCATACGAATATAACCCATGTCGATGACTATTTTAGAAATAGGTCAAATTTACATACAATGGCGAAATCCGAATAAATTTCCGTTTTCTTTTATTTCTGATCTTACTCACATCTTCTAATTCATGTCTTGGTCGTAGCTTATTTTCAGCCATATCTGAGTTGTTTACACCTTGATTCCGGTTTATACGGGTATTAACATCTGCTGCCGGTAATTTTCATCTGTAGCTATGTTCATCAAAATCTATATTAAAGGATAAGTTCAATGACCTTAAATAATGATTTGGAGTTCTATTTATATCGTTATCATTATCACGCATGCCAAAGTAGAAACATTCAACATGAAAAACATATTTATTGCTTAAAATAATGTCTTATATTGTCAATCTGATTAAATTCAGACCTATATTAACTCGCGTGCATATGAGTATAACGATCGAAATCAGAGAACTATATTTTAACCAGATCGTTATGTTGTAATATGCTCTTTGTAAGCCCATTTACATGTAATGGAAAATAAGTCATCGTCTATATTGCTGTATTATTATATTTCACCAATCTAAAATCGGTATGTTTTTGTACAGACATTTATATTCGACATTTTCGTATTTGTAATTAATTTTACCTTTCAAAACTTACACTTTTGTGGCGAAGTCATGTTGGGACTTTGTATTACAAAAAGATGTTCAATCTGGTTTTCTGTCGTCATTTATACTGATGGAGACCACTTTTCATTTAGGTATCTTGGGGGTGGGGGGGGTTCGTGTCAAAGCAGCGAAAAAACACACGTTCAGTGCAATCGGTAATCCTCGGGTGAATCCGTTACTCTCCTTCTATGAAGATGAAGGTACGGAATCGGCCGAGTTGTGACGAATGACGTGCAGTGATCAAATTTTAGGCGATACGCATTTGAGCAAACCTTTCTCCTTCTTTAATTGAATGATAATTTCCTGCTAGGAGCTGAAAACCTGGGTTCATTTAAGGTTACTTGGCCAATGGCTAAGTTACAAAAGCATAATGAACAAATTTAGCGATTTTTAGTCAGATCCTAATCATGCTAATTGTACAAATACAAATACAAATATTTTATTGGCACAAACTCATTAACAATAAATGGTTAAGACCTATTGCATACATATAATTATATTAATTGACATGGTAGAATGAAAAGTTACATGATAACATATCATTATAGAATGAAAGGTGATTCATATTAGTTCACTATTTCTTATATTTAGACACTCTGATATGAAAGAGGAAGACAGTCTTAGTAATAATGTTGAGCTATTGTTAACCAATAGAGATATTTTATCATCAGTGGTAATGTTACGCTGTATTTTAAATATAACATTTATTTTATTTTCTAATATTTCTCGTTTTGAGGTAAATCTATTACATTGTAATAAGAAGTGTTGTTCATCCTCAATTTCCCCATTTTTACAGACAGGACAGTATCTTTCCTCTCTAGGAATGTTAAGATGTCTTCCCCTTTCAATCATTAAAGAATGTGCACTTATGCGTATTTTGTATATTGCTGCTCTATCATTTACATTGTTTAGTGAATCAACATCTGTACCAAGACTTGATCATAATAATAAACTAATCATAGGTACCAGGATTAAAATTTTGTACGCCAGACGCGCTTTTCGTCTACAACTTTAACAGACCCATCAGTGAATCAAAAGATTTCAAAAGGCCAAACTAGTAATGTAGAAGAGTACCAAGGACCCCAACCCCTTTCGGTAGGCGGGGCCAACTTACGGCGGTGGAGTTACTGATGAAAGATTAGTAAAACATAACCTCACAAAAGAAAAACGTGGGGCGGTTAGGTACTCAGAAAATAGTACGTAGTTCCTCCTAAGTGTTGAAACAGAAGTATAAAATAACTCATTTATAGAACTAGTTTGTTTTAGTGAACTTAAGTTAATTTTGGAAGGTCTGTATATGTCTCTGTAAAATTTCAAAGCAAAAATATTTTTCAAAACTGTTTTACGAAAAACTTAGCTGTTTTGTTGTCGCCTGTATTCGTGAAAACAATTTCGTCGTTAACTTTATATTCATCATATCTAACTGTGTACACGTTTTCAAAATCGAATTTCTCAAAGATTTTCTGTGATATGTTGGAAGTACATTCACCAACAATACCCACTGGAGTCAATCCTAGTTCTTTACAAAATTCAAGTGAAGCTTGCATTAATTTTGAAGCTATTCCACGTCCCCTGTATTTTTTATGAGTTGCCAAAGCTAGAAAATGTATTGCTCTGTTTACGCCAGAATGCTGAAATACGTCTCTTTCTCTCCATTTATGACCTAGAAATGTTCTGATCTTTTTCAGTTTTCCATTTTTAATCTGCAGTATTCCCGCGTCGTCTGTTTTATCGTCTGCTTTGCTTGATGTGTCTAGAAACATTGTCATACACCCAATGATTTCTCCCGAGGTGTTTGATACCAACAAGATGGACAAGTTATCTTTCAAACGGGATGCAAATCTTGTCGTCACTTCCTCGTCAATTTGTAGTCCTAAAGATTTCCATAGAGGTTCATCTGGCCAAAAATGTTCTTTCAAAAACGAAATAAGCCTGTTTGTAAGTTCGTCTGATGACAATTCTAAAAGGGCATCTTCGAAGTTCAATGATTTATCGATTCTCCTTAAAACCTTTAAGAGAAAAAAATAACTATTATTACATATTTATTTACAATATTTATTATTACATAGTAATATTTATCGTACATTTTAACATACGAAAGGAGAAAAACTGGTTAACAATAGGTCAGCTGCAGAGAAAACCAAGGGTTGAATGCATGCTACCTCAATAATGCATATTGAACAAGTTTTTGTACATTATGCTTAATTCGATACCCAACATAAAAGGATGAACAGCAGTGATGTAGTGTCTGTTTCTTCTTTTATATCCAATTAAATGCTTTTATATCCGATTAGATATTTGATCCCGTCCGCGACGAAAACAGTTTTTCTATCGACTTATGCATGCTGATAATTTAAGTTATTTAGAATGCTGTTAAAATAGTGGATAGTACAAAAATTATCATCATCAAATAGAATAACTACTATGTGCACAGAGGCGGATTTAAGGGGGCGCGGGCCCTCTGTTAAGCAGTCAGTGGACCCCCACTTATGAAAATTTCTGGATCCGCCACTGGTGCATACATAAAGTTTCTCATAAGCAGAATGGAACTTTTTCACCTGATGAGCGATACAGGCACAGAACTATGTGGGCCTTGTTTTGTACCTGCTCAGTATAAAAGCGTCTTTCTACCTGTTCAGTATACATATATCTACGTCATAACATTAGGAAAAAAATGATAACTTAACTCTCGAATAATGTTTTGTAAGCAAATGAAACAAGTGTACAGCATTGTTCGTCAGTAAGCCATACGAATATAACCCATGTCGAAGACTATTTTAGAAATAGGTCAAATTTACATACAATGGCGAAATCCGAATAAATTTCCGTTTTCTTTTATTTCTGATCTTACTCACATCTTCTAATTCATGTCTTGGCCGTAGCTTATTTTCAGCCATATCTGAGTTGTTTACACCTTGATTACGGTTTATACGGGTATTAACACCTGCTGTCGGTTCGTGTCAAAGCAGCGAAAAAACACACGTTCAGTGCAATCGGTAATCCTCGGGTGAATCCGTTACTCTCCTTCTATGAAGATGAAGGTACGGAATCGGCCGAGTTGTGACGAATGACGTGCAGTGATCAAATTTTAGGCGATACGCATTTGAGCAAACCTTTCTCCTTCTTTAATTGAATGATAATTTCCTGCTAGGAGCTGAAAACCTGGGTTCATTTAAGGTTACTTGGCCAATGGCTAAGTTAAAAAGCATAATGAACAAATTTAGCGATTTTTAGTCAGATCCTAATTGTACCAAGACTTGATCATAATAATAAACTAATCATAGGTACCAGGATTAAAATTTTGTATGCCAGACGCGCTTTTCGTCTACAACTTTAACAGACCCATCAGTGAATCAAAAGATTTCAAAAGGCCAAACTAGTAATGTAGAAGAGCATCAAGGACCCCAACCCCATTCGGTAGGCGGGGCCAACTTACGGCGGTGGAGTTACTGATGAAAGATTCGCAAAACATAACCTCACAAAAGAAAAACGTGGGGCGGTTAGGTACTCAGAAAATAGTACGTAGTTCCTTCTTAGTGTTGAAACAGAAGTATCAAATAACTCATTTATAGTATTGTTTTAGTGAACTTAAGTTAATTTGGAAGGTCTGTATATGTCGTTGTAAAATTTCATAGCAAAGATATTTTTCAAAACTGTTTTACGAAAAACTTAGTTGTTTTGTTGTCGCCTGTATTCGTGAAAACAATTTCGTCGTTAACTTTATATTCATCATATCTAACTGTGTACACGTTTTCAAAATCGAATTTCTCAAAGATTTTCTGTGATATGTTGGAAGTACATTCACCAACAATACCCACTGGAGTCAATCCTAGTTCTTTACAAAATTCAAGTGAAGCTTGCATTAATTTTGAAGCTATTCCACGTCCCCTGTATTTTTTATGAGTTGCCAAAGCTAGAAAATGTAATGCTCTGTTTACGCCAAAATGCTGAAATACGTCTCTTTCTCTCCATTTATGACCTAGAAATGTTCTGATCTTTTTCAGTTTTCCATTTTTAATCTGCAGTATTCCCGCGTCGTCTGTTTTATCGTCTGCTTTGCTTGATGTGTCTAGAAACATTGTCATACACCCAATGATTTCTCCCGAGGTGTTTGATACCAACAAGATGGACAAGTTATCTTTCAAACGGGATGCAAATCTTCTCGTCACTTCCTCGTCAATTTGTAGTCCTAAAGATTTCCATAGAGGTTCATCTGGCCAAAAATGTTCTTTCAAAAACGAAATAAGCCTGTTTGTAAGTTCGTCTGATGACAATTCTAAAAGGGCATCTTCGAAGTTCAATGATTTATCGATTCTCCTTAAAACCTTTAAGAGAAAAAAATAACTATTATTACATATTTATTTACAATATTTATTATTACATAGTAATATTTATCGTACATTTTAACATACGAAAGGAGAAAAACTGGTTAACAATAGGTCAGCTGCAGAGAAAACCAGGGGTTGAATGCATGCTACCTCAATAATGCATATTGGACAAGTTTTTGTACATTATGCTTAATTCGATACCCAACATAAAAGGATGAACAGCAGTGATGTAGTGTCTGTTTCTTCTTTTATATCCAATTAAATGCTTTTATATCCGATTAGATATTTGATCCCGTCCGC